TAAGCAAAATACATTGATCGCCGAAGCTTTGGACCCACTTTAATCAAGTAATCTAAACAGGGCTGAAGCTTCAAAAGCCTAGCGATTCACCCAGCTTCAAAGCGCTTACTTATACACTGAATTAATTTATCCGGGATGTATTAATGCTCCTCGAAACCCCATGGATTACAATGTTAGAGGTTGCAATCAGGCTCTGATAATATTCCCAAAGACTGGCCTCTATTGATTGTCATGCAAAAAGGCACAAAAGGGAGCAGAGTGGAGGGGAGGAGGAAACGAGGGACTGGGGTTGATTGACCAAGTCTGAAACATCCAGGTCCACATAGGCCCTGGTGGACAAGGGGAGGACTCGAGCTCTACTCCTGCTCCTGGGCTGCTTTGGGCTGGGTGTGGGAGGGTGGCGTGTGTGTGTGCACAGAGGTGCCACATTAACAGGGAGCACTGCTTGGAGCTGCAACTCTGAGGTGGAAGCCAGAGAGAGATGCTTGTTTGTGTCGCAGAGATAAAGGGGAGTTGGAGCTCTGTTTTGGAGGTCAAGCTGGCAGTCACTCTCCTCCAGATAGTTACCTCTCCTTCCATTTACTTAGGGCACCCACTTTTCCTTGACCTTGACCTTAATCCCTGGCTTTTGAGTGGGGTCCCTACTCACCTCCCAGATCTGGGCCCTGTGACCTCATCATTCATTCATTCATTCATTCAGCAATTTATTGAGCATTTGTTATATTCCCGTCATTATTCAAAGGCCTGAGGGTGGACAAAAGCCCTTGGCCTCATGGAATTGACTTTCTACTGGTGTGAAGGGGAGGGAGACTAATATGCTGTCTATGTACCCATTGCTTTGGTAATTGTCTGATGGTTAAATGTGTTCTGGATAAACAAGCAAGGGTGAGGGTACCAGTGTGGATTCAATTTTGAAATCCAAGGGGTCTCCCTGGGAAGGTGACATTTGAGCAAAGATTTGAAGGAGATGTGGGAAGGAGCTACACAGAGTTCTGAGGGAAGAACAAGAGCAAAGGCCCTGAGATGGAGGAGCAAGGAGGCTGACATGGCTGAGACAGAGTAGGAAAGAAGAATACGTTGATGGGAAGTTAGAGATGGGACAGGAGCCAGACAAGAGCACCATCAATTAGTCCATTTAATTCTTGTGGCTACAGTGATTGGTTCAAGGATGGGACAGTGACGTAAATATAAAGGATACAGGCTGAGTGATCCACAGCCATCTTGTCACTACATGGAGCCAAAGGGTAAAGTCAAAATGGAGGCCAGTGGTGCCCAGAGGATTCCTGAACCCTACTGAGTCTGAAAACCTTATAACTCTTGGTACTTTTCCTCTATGTGACCCAATAAGTCCTCTTTTTTGCCTAAACTATTTTGGATTTCTTAAATAAATACATTTTGAAACCCTAAGGACTCATCTCTTGACACTAACTTTGGGGGTAAAGCATGTAATTCCGGCATCCATTTTCTCTCTGTAGGCTGCTGGAGCCCCAGCCTGGCTCTCCTCTCTTCTTAGGAATAGGGAGGTCTATAAGAATAAGGGAGGGCATCTCCTCCCCCTAATGCCTCAGTCTCCTGGCTTCCTTCCTTCCGTCTTCAAAACGCACCTGGAGTAGCAGGGATAGGGGATGGCAGAACTGTGGATATCTTTTCAAATTCTAATGTGCTCTCTTTCAGCCCCACCCCCCAAATTATTCAATCCTGTTGGGCCTTTTCTCCTTGAGAGGAAGGAGAAGATACTAGCATTTTAGTAAGGACCCACAAATGCTGAGTTTATACATATGTTATTGTATTTTTGCTCCGAAATGGGTTAGGTATTGGCAGCTCTGCTCTTGATCCCATACCACAATGGTACACAGAGCAGCATCCGATCCTGATGGTTGGTGCCCATGGCTACCTCTTGCTAAAGGTTTTGGATATCAGTCTTGGATGTTACTATACTAAGATGTCAGCAGAGGCCCCTGCCCTTTGAGATTCAAATCAAATGGATTCAAATGCTGCTCCTCATGCAGCTATAGGCAGCCATGGTTCCTTCAATCTCAATAGGCTTTATGGGGGAATGAGGGTGGTGGTTAATGTTTTCTTATTTTTTCCTGGATTCAAGCTTCTCTGAATTACTGAAGATTTTCTTGCTTCTCACACTGCCGTCCTGTTCCTGATCACATCATCCCAGTGTGGAACCCACTCCCAACCATGCCAGTGCATATCATTAACACAAGGCAGTTGTATGTGGAAGACTTTACTGACTGTTGGGAATACGTCATAGCACCATGTTTAAGAGTTTGAACAGCAGGCATCTCTGTAACATTTATTTAGCCATTTCCAACCAGAGGACTCACTCCTGTATGGCCTTTCTCTTCCCAGGTCCATTGCTAAACCCACTTTCTTCTTCCAAATCTTTCAACCCCATTTCTTGAAGTCTGCTTCTTTTTCTACTTTTTCATCCTTCCTTTTTCACCCCATTCCCAAGTACTTTCGCAAAGAGAAAAATGTGGTTTTTCCAGTGCTACTCAGCTCTAGACTTATCTGAGGGCCTGTCAGTGTGTTTATCAGTGGAACCTTCACTACAGTCCCTCTTTGAGCAGCACAGACGACACAGCTTGATTTGGCACCTTAGTTTTTTGTTTCTCCTGGGCACACCAGTGTGTGCTGGGAGAGGTGTGCATTAGTGATGTCTCTCAATGTTGTAAATGATTCCATTGTGTAGGAGACAGAAGCAGCTGCCACAACCAGCCTTGGCTCCCAAAACTAAACCTTTTTTCTCTTTATTACCACCTTTTAGGTGAGAAAATGGATGCTCCATGAGCCTAGGAGGATAAATAATTTGCCCAGTGGAGCACAGCTGATATCTAGGAGAAAGGGGATTTGAATCCAGGTATGTAATGGACAATGTATGACATTTCCACTATAGCAGAACAAATTCAATAAAAATTCATTGTATCTACCTGGATCCATCACACACATTCAGTAAACTTCTCTTATGTAAAAGTGTCAGGCTATACAGGTTATGTAGGGAGAAGAGAGTGGAAAATAAATGGCGCCTTCCCAGAAGAAATTTCTTCATCTCACAGGAAGCTAAAACCAGATAGTTCATAAATTAAAGTGGAAATTCAGGAAGTTCAAGGGACACTCTGAAAGCTCTTTACCTGCCTACTGAAGAAGCTCCATAACAGTGTTATGAACTTGGACTCTGATAACCCTAGGTAAGTTTTGCTCTTCTTCTCATTTTTTGTTTTTAGTCAGAGAATGAAGGTAGTCATAGTACCTCTTGTATGGGCTTGCTGTGAAGGTAAAATGGATTGATACATGTAATATACTTAGAACAGTGGAGGCATGTAACTCATAAAGGTTAGTTTTTGTGTATATTGGCTGTCTATTGTGGTAAAAAACAAACAAACCTGAGGTGAGGCAACTTATAAGGAGAAAAGGTTTGTTCTGACTTACATTTTTGTAGGGTTTAGTCCGTAACACACCGGCCTCATTGCTTTGGCCCTGAGGCAGCAGATCCTGGTGGGAGAACATGTGGTACAGCAAAGCCACTCACCTCATGCACCAGACATGAAGGAGACAGGAAGAAGAGGAGCTGGGGACCCACAGTCCCCATTGAGGGCACACTTTTAGGGACCCAAAGACATCTCTGTAGGTCCTACTTCTTAAAGTCTCCACCACCTCCCAAAAGGACCAAGCCTGTAACACACCAGCCCCTGGGAACACTTTTCCAAGCCATAGCTGCTCGTGCTATTAATGTACAGAGTTGTTGGCCAACAGTTCATCCATCTGAGAAATCACTCTTCCTGACCGTCAAGGGAAGGAATCCCTGTGTCTGAAGCTCAGAGGTGAAGCAACCTCCTCCACACCACAGAGACATTTTGGGGCATAGTTAGGACTAGAAAGTTGGTCTTTAGATGCTGATCCGGTTTATTTCTGCTGTATTCCAGCTGAAAGTTGAGAGCATGTAGGAAAGGCTGTTTCGAAACCTTATTTAGAGAAGAGATGGGTTTGATTTGAGTATTGACTGTATTTAGCAGTGGATGATAAGAAAGAATCATATTACAAAAACTTCCAGTAATCCATCAAAATCCATTCTTCTTATTTTCCATGGTGAAAGAGTTGTAGTTGAACATGAGCTGCCCAGTTAGGGGCAACATTTCCCACCTTCCCCTGTATTGGCAGTGGTACAGTCATGTTGAAAAGTTCTCACCAGTGTATTGTAAGCAGAAGAGAAATGAGTCACTCCCAAGCTGTACCTCAAGATGTGAGCTCTATCTCCTCTGTGTTATTCCCCACTTTCATTCTAATTAAGAAGTGACCAGATAGATTAGCAGGCCCCAGGGCAGTTCTTCTTTATCTGTGTTGGAGAGCTAGATTTCCACTCCACTCTAACCTAAATTCACCATTAAACTAGCTTTTGGTCTACAACCAATGAGATGCGTTCTCTGGCCATGTGCTTGGTTGTCATAGGGATGTCAAATTGTGGTATAAGTTCCAGAGAGCTCACCGTCACTGTCACAACTCAATTCAGGTGCACTTTTACCAAGAAGTTTGTGGACTGGTCCTGGTCTGCATCCACACTTTAAGTAGCACTGCCTCAGGCGATGCAGAGACAAGATAGAAATACAGGATCCTGAGGGTTTTGTGGAGCAGAGTGGCCTGCTGGCCTGGAATGTTCAGATGCTTAAAAGATAAGATAGAAAATAAAAGCCATCTCCTTCAACTACGGTACCTTAAGATTGCTTTCTTAGGAAGGTTAGCTTTATGCTAAAACAGATAAGACATGCAGTGTACTGATACTTTGTGTACATGTACCAACTTCCCACAAGGAATGTACACATTATGCATTGCAAACATGTACTAACAAAAAACAAAATAAAAGAAATACAAAACAATAGAAAAGTAGGCTTTCAAACCCAAAAATGACTCAGTGTGATAGCCCAAGCTGTAGGCATGTTGGTTCTACTTGCTGGGACAGTGCCACTGGCTTAGTCACCTTCCTTGTTGCTGGCACAAAATACCCAATACCTGTAATTTAAAAGAAGAGAGATTTATTTTGGCTTACAGTTTCAATGGATTCAGTTCGTGGTTGGCTGGCTCCAAGGCAGAAACAGCATGACAGAGTAGCATGTCAGAGGAAAGCTGTGTGCTGCTTGATGTGAACAGCTCACTGCTCACCTCACTGCAAGTGAGCAGAGAGAAGGGAGAGAGAGAAGGGAGGAGCCGGGGATGAGAATATACTCTTCCAAGTCACGTTCCCCGGCACCCGCCCCTACCAACCAGGCCCCACCTCTATACATGAGACTTTGTCGGGGTGTTCGAGACCTAAGCCATAGCAGCTGCGCTTGCACATGACATTCCTGAGTACCCACTGCACACTGCACACTGAAGTATGATACAAGGCCTCTGGTTCTCCGCCAGCAGAGCCCAGCAAGATAGGTTCTTGGTATGTTTTAGAATGATTTGAATCCAAGTAAATCCATGTTTTGAGGCTCAAATGAAACCATGAGTTTAAAGGTGCTTTGAGAAAAAAGAGTGGTAAGCAATTTTTAGTTCATAAAACAGCTAGAGTTGAGAGAATATTGAGTTAGGGATCTAGGGACCCTTATGAGGTCTAGAAGACGTTATGGGGCAGGAACCACAGCCTAAACGTAGAGGAGAAACTGAAATGTTCTGGCGCCTAAAGTCCCTGATGCCAGCTGGGTGACCTTGAGTGAGTCACGTAGCATCCTCCCTGTAAAGGAGGATGTTAAGATGATATTGCAGGCTTGGTGAGAAGATCCCTGGGAAGGTACAGGAAGACCTGCCTGCACTTGTATGCCAGCCACTGCCTGGCAGCAAACAGATGGCACCCGCAAGCTGGGAAACAGGAGGAGAGTGAGCTCTTTACAAAGAAGCTGCTGGGGTGGGAAGACCCACAGGGACAGCCTGATACCTAGCTAGCAATGGGGTGAATGAGGTGAGGAAGTGACCGTCACTTCCCATAAGCCTGAAGGGTAGAGGAGAAAGCAGTTGTCAGAATTCAGAGTTTGTGCAACATCCAGGGCATATTGGACAGGAATGGAGGCTGATGCTAAGATGGAAGCCAGTCCCTGGTGAAGCCTCTGCAGGGGGTGGGCGGGGAGTAAATGTGCTGGCCATCTTCTCTTCCCACCCTCCTAGCTCCTGCTTCTTCCTTCCAGGGGCCAAACTCCACTAAAGGCCAAGGCTAAAGGAGCCCCATGGGTAGGTCAGCCTCGGGGTTCAGAGGAAGCTGGGGAAGCAGGAGAGAGAATCCAGTGGGGCCAGTGACTATACCCCCAACCCCAGCCTCTGGAAGCTGCTCAACCTTTGGGAGCATTTTGTTTCTTTGTTTAAAAAAACAATTTCTAATCTCTGGATATAACTGCAAGTGAGTGAGGAGGCCACATGCTTCCTCCAAGGCACCACTTAACTGAAGATTGGACTTCCTGAATGCCAGGCGTGCAGGGTCTGCTCTCATCTGAGGCACGAAGGGTGAGCAAATGAGTCTTTCTCTGTTGGCCCCTTTCCAGTTCCGTTTCCACGTCTCTATCCCCTGTTCTCTGTTGTCCTTGTCTAAGAAGCCACCATCTGGCTGCAGCCCGCCTAAAGAAGACATTGGTGAGCTGGGGACCTGGGGTACAGCCCCTGCTGCCTTAAGAGATGATTAGTGGCTGCTTGTTGGCAGATGTAGCTCAGTGGCATTTTAATATCCAAATGTCCCTCCTGCCTTATGAGGGAGCCCACAGACTATTGAAGGCGTCTCACACAGAGAGCCCTGATTGCCGCGACAATAATTTCCTTCAACAGCCATTAAAACACTTGTGAATGTGTTTTTAAAAAAGAAAAAGAAGAGAAAAGGTGGGAGGGGTGAGGGGGCCATCATCCTTCCTATTTCCTGGCAAATAGCAGTGTTCACGGGGTGAACTTTAACTAATCAGCTGGGATGTTAACATTGACTGTTCGAGGTTATTAGCGCATTGTCAGCGCCTGCTTCTCATCTTCAGCTCAGCCTGGGGACAGGGGTGGGGTTGACTCGGAGTCCCGTGAAGGCAACCCAGAGCCCTGAGACCCCCGGATGAAGTGGAGGCAGAGCCTAGGCCTCCTTAAGATGCATCCTCCTGCCCTCCGCAGGGCGGCCAGTGCTCCAGCCAGGGCCTGCTTCACCCCTGCGGTGGTCAGGACGTGCTTGCACCCTTAGGCATCCCCGGACAAATGTATGCGGAGGGCCTTCCCCACGCCAGGCCGGTCCGGCTCCACATGCTGGATCTGCGAGGCTCTGGCCGTGACACTCAGAGCAGATGTGGGTCAAGGGGCAGGAAAGGTCCCGGAGGCCCGGGTGGGCCAGACACTAACCTTTCCTATGAGTGGTTGGCCACCGCTGGGCCTGGCTCAGGGCAGTGACTGCTCATTGGTCTGGACGTATTTTAGCTTTTGACCGGTTGTCACAGTCGAATTTAATGTGCCCAGGGAAGAATACACACCAATCTCTTCCGTGTGGAGTTTACCTTCATGCAAGCAAGGAGACGCGGGCAGCTTTTCTTTTCCATCCTTGGGGATGCTTGGAAACCTTGCCAAAATAGAGAGACAACTTCATTTTCTGTGCCGGGCCTATGTGGAGTCTTTTAAAAATGATGAGAGTGCAGTCGCAGGCCACCAAGGCACAGGGGGCGCTCCAGGAACCCATTGGTCCTCCTAAGGCAAGGGCGGGAGGCCGCACTGCCTGTGCTGGGTCATCGAGACAGCCGTCGAGCTCGCCCTCTCCCGCTCCCACAAATGCAGGGGTTCCGAACAACTGTCTCAAAAAGGGCCTGTGTTCTGCTCCCTTTCCGTGCTCCTGTAGGGCTGAAATGAGGGCTATCCAGCAATCCAACCCCAACTTGCTGGCGTCGGCGTCATGCGTCACTTCGTCTAGGGCAGCGCCTTCCAGACCGTGGGTGGGGAGAGCCTCACTGGTGCACACAGAGCCTCGCCTGGGGAATCAGGGGAGTCCGGTGTCCTCCTTGGAAAGGGAAAACTGACATGGTTACTGTGAGCATCCCTGCTCCTTAAGTAGGGTTTTGAAAGCATTTTATAGAGCCATCCTTAACCTTAGTTCTGAGGATTGTTAGTGCAACCAAGAAGGGAGAAATGCAAAGGAAAGATGAGAAGGAGCCTGAAAATGCAGTTTTTCACTGACAAAGACAGTGGCAGTGGCATTATTTTTCTTAAAAATTACTATGTATCCTCTTCTGGGTTACTCTTAAAGCAAGTCTGCCAAAAATTGCCTTAAAATCGGTAATGTGATAACATACTAGTAAAAAGAGGAACTACACACAAAGGCATATAAACTATACAAGGGATTTGTGCATACACACCATTGAACAGAAAACATTGGAAGAGCACATACGTTAGTGATGTCTTTCAGAATTTAGAGGCAGACAAAGCTTTCCCATCTTTGAGACAATTTGTATTCAGAAACTCATCAGATATCCCTTCTTGCTTTAGCTCCTGGGAAGCTCAGGATTAAACTCTCATTTTAATAATGGTAGGATTACACTTAGGTCAGCGTTTCTCAGCTTTCAGCTAGAATCACTTAGGCAGCTTAAAGAAAAAAATCCCAATACCTAGACCATACCCTAGACCAGTGATGGTGAACCTTTTGGAGCTTTCAATGATACAAAGAGCCCACTGCCGCATGCGTGCCATAGGTTCACCATCACTGCTAGACTAAGGTACAATGTCTGGAAAGATGGAACCCAGGCACCCTACTTTTAAAGAGCCCTGAGTGATTCCAGTGTGATTCTGGGGCTAAGAACCAACACTCCAGGCAGTATATTTGACTTTCCCTTGTCAAAAAAAAAAAATCACTTTTATTTTTATTTATATTTATATTTTCCTTAGAACTAATTTTTATTTATGTGTAATCTTTCAATTTGGTTCTAGTTATTTTCCTGGTTTCTGGGACAAAATACCCAACACCCACAACTTAAAGGAGGAAAGCTTTATCTTGGCTCACAGTTGTAGAGCTTTCAGTCCATAGTCCAGAAGAGCAGCTCATGGCATGATGGCAGGAAACAGAAAGAAAGATCAAGGAGGAGGGAAGGAGAAAGACCCTTCCAGACCATCTTCCCAGTAACCCACCTCCTCCCACCAGGCTTCACCTCCCAACATCACATTAAGCTATAAACTCACTGGTGGAATAATCCACTGATGAGTATCATGTCCCCATGATCTGATTACCTTGAAAGCCCCACCTATGAGCATATGAGGCTTGGGAGGGACATCTTCATATAAGCTATAGCATGACTCTTGTAAATTGCTCCATGTCCTCTCTGGAACATGGTATGGTGCAGCAAAAAAGATAAATTTGTGTTTAAACCACAGGATACCCAGGCTTTGTGGGTTCAGCTGGGGGAATGTTCCACAGGGGCACGTGCCATGGGGAGGTGAGGGGCCTGTGACTCAGCCTGTCCACAAGAAAAGCTCACATTTCCATGTTAAAGAAAGGTACTATTCTTGGTTAGTAGCTTCCCTGACTGATACCCTATTTGTGAGTGGGCACAGTGTAAGGAGAAATCAAATTCTGCAAGAAATAACTTTCAGGAACATGTCGATACTTTTTTTTGTCCTAATCATCTGCAAAACTTGACCTGCTAAATAAAGCTTGTGTATAGGTCCAGGCCACTGGGGAAGACAGAGCAGGCTTCCTCCTAGTGGGAATTTCTCCATAGCACTTACTAAGATGGAGCAGGTGGGGACAGTCACCTCCTATTGGAATTGTGGTCACCGTTCCTGAGGGCATTTGTCCTAGGGCAGAGGAAGAATGAATGGACCTTTTCTTCTACTGAAGTTGTCCCCTTTTGAATTTGCACCTTATAAATCTGTCCCTGGTGCTTTTTAATCATGGTTATACATAGAACTGGATCAGTGGTGGGAAGTCTGGGTCTTGCCTTGAACCCCAGTTCCAATTCCAATGCTGGTGGAGGCAGAGAATAGAAACATGTGAACAAAGCCTTGTGAGAAAGAGGACCAGGGAGTGGTAGAGACTGATGAAATGGATCAGAACACTTGAGGGGTGTTCAATCTCAAACTAAAAGGGAGGGCTTAAAGAGTGGGCTGAGGGAGGAATTTGAAGGTGACAAGCGAGGTGCTGGGAAAGAAGACCCAAAGAGAGATGATGCCGCACGAATAACTTCATTGAGCTTTAAATTTTGTATCTGTAGGTAAGAGCATCAACCTTCGCCTAACTCAGGCAGAACCTTCAAACTCAGGAAACCGCACACTCATGGGACACAAGCAGGACTGGACAAGGCTGTGCTGGCAAATAGCCCAACAGGTACTGGGGAGAGAGAAGTAGAGGCACGTTAGCACGAGGGCCTCTGCCTCAGAGCCCCTCCTTGGATTAAGAGAGTCCCCTTACCCTCATGAAGGACAGCTCCCCATTGAGATCTGTAAGTAATGGTCACAGGCATCCAGGGTACCTGAAAAAACTCAAGGCTCACACTGGTTGGAACAGAAGTTTCTGGAATCTGTGAGTCTGATGTTAGCAGGCTCATTGCCCAGGAGACCAGACAAGAGAACTTAAAAATAGCATTTTCTATAATTGTTTGAGTCTCTGGGTGTTTAGTAACCATGTCTGGCAGTCTATACCCAAGACAGACGGGCTGTGGGGAAAGCCATTGTTAACATAAAATCGTTAGTTTAATAGGCTTGATGAAAAGGGTTGCGAGATGGGAATTTCCTCCTGCAGTATGTTCTCCACTCAAAACAGTTCCCAAAACCAGTAGGCCATGTTAATTATTGACTAAAATGCCCCAATATCTCTCACAGTGTTTTCCCTCTTAGAAAATGTTAGGGATCTAACAAACATTACCTCTAAAAATAGCTTGAAGTCCTAGAATTTGCATTGTCAAATGAGTCTACATGTCCCTTAGCCCTTGAATGATTTATTTTATCATTTGTATAGTTCTCTCATGACAACATACACACCCACACACATACACACACACATATGCCCATGGACACGTGGACACACACATATATGCAAACATGTTTTGCCATCTTCTGAAGAAAAGAAATGGCAGCTAATGGACTGAGAGCATGGAGTAGGAAAGACAGTTGGCAAGGCCAAGTGCTCAGTGATGTCAGCGTACTGAAGACCATCAGGCTAAGAATGACAATGCATTCTAAGCACAATGAACCAGAGTTAGGCAAACTCTACACAGAAGAGTATCACAAACCAGTCCTCCCGAACCCTCCCTGTGATGGGTTCAAAATGGCCAGAAAGTGTATGTCTGTCCCCTTTCCCCACTCCTTCATGAAGAGGGGAGTTCAAGCTGAGTGTAGTGGTGCACACATATGGTCCCAGAACTCTAGAAAGCTGAGACAGGAGGCTTACATGTTTGAATCCAGCCTGAGAAACTTGGTGAGATCCTGTCTGAAATGAAAAACAAGTACAGGGGATGTAGCTCAATGTGAAGGCCCTGAGTTCATTCCCCACTATTATTAAATAAATAAATACATAAATACATACATACATACATACATACATAAATACACACACAGTAGAAATAAACACAGTAGAGTTTACTTTCCCTTCCTGACTGGCCCTGAGATGGCATTAACCAAGTATAAGTGCCAGTAAAGGGGCTCACACCCTCAACTGGTCCAGCAGTGTTTTAGTTCAGGCTGCTGTAACAAAATGCTATAAACTGCATAGCTTTTAAATAACATAAATTTGTATCTCATGGTTTTGGAAGCTGGGAAGTCCAAGATCAAAGAACAAGCAGATTGGATGGCTGGTGAGGCCTCTGCTTCCTATATGGTGCCTCTTGCTGTGTCCTTACCTGGTGGAAGGGGCAAGGCCCATTTTTAAGGGACCTAATCACTTCCCAAGCCCTCGCCTCTTAATACTATCACATTGGGAATTAGATTTCAACACATGAATTTGGTTTAGACACAAAAATTCAGTCAACAGCAGGCATCTCCCCTTTCTGCTTTATGTGAGCCCTGAACTGCTAGGGAAGAAGTCTGGCTGCCTTGCAGAGGAAACCCCATGGTAAGGAGAGGACCCAAAACTCCACAGAGGATTAGGGAGGCTCTGTGGTCCAGTTCTGAGCACTCAAATGACTCTAGACACAGCTGTCATCTAGCCACAAACACACAAAAGGTTGCAAATATGACCAGCAGAAGGGCCACCTAGTCACCCATATTGAGAGATAAAATTGTCATTTTTTAAGCTGCTAAATTTTGTGATGGCTTGTTATATAGACAGAGCTTTGCAAAACACTACTCACAGAGATATGGCGAGCACATGTACTAAGCCATGGGGCAAGGCACTGCATCTGTGATATTGGCCATACCCGGCCTTGGTTTCCTACAGGCGATGGAATTAACAGCACTGAGAGGAGTCCAGGGTGGTACAACTGGGAGGTGGTGGAGCCTTTAGAAGGTGGGGCCTACTGGGAAATCTTTTGGCCACTGGGCATGTCCCCTTGAAGAGGAATGTGGGCCCTCAGTCTGTCCTGCTCTTGTCTACTTCCTGGCTAGGGATATAAGCATTTTGTTCCTACTCGTGGTCCCCCCATTATGTGCCAACATCTGCCAGTGCAGGCTCCATGCCTTCTTGTGCCTCCAGAACAGTGAGCTGATAAACCTTTACTCTTTATAAGTTTTTACCTTAGTTATTTTGTTGTAGTAACATGAAGCTGACTAATAAAACAGGTGATTGTTTTACTGACTTCATAACATCACTTTGTTGGCCAGTAACTCAAGAGAAGATTGTGTGACCCTAATCCCAGTTTGTTTTGAGAGGAAAAGGAACCAGTGGAACAGTTATAGGGCAAGAATTATGTACCAAGTCTGGGGCCAAGGACCCTCCAATGCTTTACTTGGTACACGTCTACGGAGAAAGGCTGGGTGCATGAAATCCTTAATTTCTATTTATAATTATCAGTCTGAGCCTTGAGTCACATGTTCTATTTCTTTTAATTTAACTGATTGTTAATTCAAAATACAATGGATATGTCAAAAATAATACAAGGGAAACTTACAGTAGAAGAATCCATTTATCATATTTATAACCTTTGGTAGAAGTGGAAATGTAGCCACATAAATGTTTGAACAAGTACATTTTCTCCCTTCAAATATGAATGTTCCAAGACGCATTTAAAATGTCCTTTCTCCTTGATTTTTTTGATTCACATTTCACCCTGACATCTGAGAAGCTTCAACCTAAGATCACAGTAAACCATTCCCTTCTTATTTAAAAAGTCAAGATTTAAGGCAGGAATTGTATTTGAATACACTGAAAGCTTGCAGAAAGAGAGAGAGAAAAAAGAGAGTCTGTGACTTTTAAGTACTTAGTTATTGTTGGTCTATAGAAAAAATCAGCTCCTGTCACTCATGAGGCACATAAAGGGGGTTTGAAGGAAAATGTTCATGGTAGGGAGGACCTGTTGTTTTCTGTGTCTCCTGACAAAGATTTAAACTGCTGTGAGATGAAAGGACTTCTCATCTCTGAGACTTGTTAAGCACCAGAATCAGCTTGAGTGATGATGAAATGCTCTTGTGTATATGTGTGTTTTCTAGAATGGCTTGGACACGCTAATACTTGAAGGCAGGGAGTCTGAGCTTTGTTATTCCTGCAACGCTTATTAATGAGCCACAATTCATTTATTTTTGAGTTGTGTTATAAATGAGGCCAGGGCCTGGTTCCAACACTGTTTAGATTGAAAGATTCTTTTGCAATTTTTTGTAAGTCACTGTGGTAATTAATAAAATATTGTACATATATGAGAACTCGTACATTAACAATTCCCCTTCCCTTTAGAATCTCTCTAGCTTTAGAGGGCAACACAATGGGTCTGAACTATATATATATGTAAACACATAATGTTTAAACATACATAAAGCAAAAAGTTGGGATGAGGGTGTGGTAGATTGTAAGATGGGGATGTAATAGATTTTAAACATTTTTTCCATCCCTCCATATTCTTGCCAAAATTCACTGGAACAGAGTCCCTCCCAGTCTTATGTGGCCACATTACTTTGGCCAATAAAATGTTGAATGCTTCAGATTTTAACTGTATTTGTATGGATTTCTTTGAACCTTTGTTCTCTAGTTTGGCCTTATGAGAAGAATCTGCCTCAGACAGTGGTTATAACCTGGATCTTGGCAAAAGGTGTAGCCTGAAGCCAAGCCATCATACCTAACTCACAAAATTTTGATTGAGAAATGAACATTTGTTGGTATAAGCCACCAGAGATTTAGGGGAGATGTTTGTTACACAGTATCAACTCAGCAATTGCTGACTAACTTAAGTGCTTACTGATGATTTTTAAAATTAATTTTCTTTTACTAGATCTACATTTCCACTTTTTTTATGATGAAAAGAATGGTAATTTATTTAGTCAATAATTATGTATTGAGAGCTTACTGTAAGTCTGCCCCGTACTAGATCTTGAGAATAAATTAGTAAGAAAAAGAATCAATGTATCTGCCCTGGTGGAAAAGAAAATCTAATAGGAGAAATGGGCATTTGTGGAGTTATCACACACACAAATATAAAACTGCAACTATGGTAAGTGTTACACATGGCAGGTGTATGAGGCTAGGAGTGTGGAGAGAGCAGAATTATGATTTAGACAGAAATATCAGGAACAGTTTCACAGAAAAAGTGATGACTGAGCTGAGATCTGGAGAATGGGAGTCATTCAAGTGAAGTAGTATAATAGAAGGGATTTTGGGGAAAATATTTGTTTTTATTTGGGGAGGGGACTTAGGCCTGACTGCTATAACCTGAATAGATTGTATTTTGCCTGAGGAGCAAGTTACCACTGAACTGGATATTAATAGCCTCCCTGTATATCAGAGATAACTAGCTGTCCATTGAATTCACAACCCTCCCTCCTACAGTATGAGGTTATTGTTGGGAAGTGGCTGCAAATAACCAGGGATGTATTTCCTGAAACCCCTGTGACCAGGTGCCATTGTTCATTTCTTTTTCTTTTGGTACTGGGGATTGACCTCAGGACCTTATGCTTTTTTTTTTTTTTTTTTTTTTTGACCTTATGCTTTTGAGGCAGGCGGCAGAACCACTGAGCTAAATCCCCAGCCCCCAGGTGCCATTGTTCTTGCCTGCAGTCACAATGATAGGTATTATTTCTGGGCCAAGTTCATTAGAAGCAGGTGCCTTTTCCATATTGACCAACAGTGGATTAAATTGACAATGAATTCTTTTTGTGGTGGAGCCACAGAGGGAAAAAGGCTGTGACTCTTAGTGACCACGTGGTGGTGGAAAGCTGTCAACTAACCAACAACACCCACCTTAGAAC